TGAAAATAAACAGCAACTACCCAAAATTCCCTGAGCTAACTTTTTTTACCTTCTGGTGCAAGATATTTGGGTTTGCTAAAGAATTTTCCTTCTTACGGTTATGGTGTGATACCCTGCTGAGTTACTTATGGACTGAAAAATACTTTGTCATCCTAGAGTGATAAGTGTAGATCACTCTGCTTCTTTCAAAATACAGAACAGAATAAGTTTTTGAACACATCTGGCTGCTCTGCATCACTGCCTATTTGACTGCTTCCTTACTTTTGTTAGTGTTTGTTTTCTTCCTAATGCATTTGAATATTTTTAGCCCTGCAAACCATTCTTTTTACCCAAAGATATCTTCTTTTCAATTTTCTGCATTTGGGAAGCAACGCACATTAAGTATTACTCCTTCCTTTATACATGTACATGTCAAACAGATAGATAGAGAACTTGTAGCACCAGTACTTCTATTTCTGGTGAAATGAAAATAGAAATTTCATCTAACTGACTCGCAGTAATAAATCCAAATGTTCCCTTTACTGTGCATCTAAAATCAGCATTGGCCAAAGGTTTTTTTTCAGAATTATGGTAGCAATACTTTTTTGATACAAGAAAACTTATTTTAAGTGTTTTTCTCCTGGCTTTCTTTCACATTTTCTTTCTGAACATATACATTCCAGCTGAAAGGCAGTTTAGAGGCTATGGTAACAGTATTATTTTTTAGTCATGTGGTTTGACAAAGGCTCATGGTTGTGTTACTGATTTCTTGATGGCTTTTGTCCATCTGAAATGTTGATTTTTCATGTCTCTGGTCTACTGCAACATGAGGGAAAATGAATTTGCATCAACTCTTACCAAATACGATGCTCCTGCTCAGACCTAGAATCCTGACACTGGGAAGTATACTGCTGAAATATTTCCTTAACAGCCTGTGATGCTTTTTTTCAGTTCACTTCTGGATGGGGTCTGACTGTTTAAAATCTTTTGCTTTAAAGGGATGCTGCCTCCCTGTCTGCTCCAGCCAATTGTCAGCCAACCATGAGCCCTTCCTGCTCTGACATTCAGTTGGGTTTAGTTCCCCTTCTCACTTTTGCAGCATATGATCCTGTATTTCACAGAAATAATGCCTTGCCATGTATTAAAGTTCAGTGCTTTGCCTGCAGTATTTCTAGCTGTCATTAGTTTCAAAAAAATTGAAAGCTCCAAAACTATCATCTGAATTTTCCCTGTTCCTTGACAAGGTCCCAGAAGTCTTCTGTAACCCTAGAGTTCCTCAAGATACCATGACCCCATCTTACATCAGTTCCTGCTTTTCCTCTCCACTTTAGAATTTAATGCCTCAGTTAAGTCAAACAAAAGCTTACCCAGAATATTTTAGATATTACATATTATATAATTTATACATTAAATTATATAATTTAGATGTTATTATCAGACACTTGGGACTGTCTTCTTCCCACCTTTAAGATAATAGGCTGTAAATCTCAAAGGGCTATATTCACTGTTGGCTGCTGTGAGACTTTGCTACTCCAAAGCTAAATGTGTAAAAAGTAACTGGAAGTAATTGCAGGTAGCTATAACTAGTAATGCAAAAATATCCTTAAAAAATAAAAAAGAAGCAACTAAAATAAAAAAGTGAGAAATTCACTTCAAATAGGACAAAGCCAGTAGCAAAGATACGTCCAGGACACAGCAGAAATGTGACAATTGGTCTATTCAGTAACTTCATTTTTAAAGCCATGTTTATAAATAAATTATCCACTTCCAATTTTTTTCCCTGTTTCTGCCCGTTTTCATTTTTTATTTATTTCCACCTCTTTAACAACTTTTTTTTTCCTGCAAAAATTTACCTTAATAAAGTTCTTCAATTTCCAGAACAGGTAAGCTTTACTACTTCTCTATGTACTCTATTTGGGCTTGTTATAATGGCATCCTAAATTCTCCATCTTTTTGGACCCTTTAGTCTTTCAGGATTGCCTCCATATCTGGTTGTATGCAGCAACCAGCACACTACAAATACCTTCCAGATGGAGGACAGTAGATACTACAACTTCTCTAAGTTAAAAACCTCACCTTGGAGACAGAAATTTACCTTCTCTGAGTTTCCATGCCAAGATTTCTGTGTAAATGAAAGAAGACTTGATTATATTTTTTATTATTAAATACATATCTCGATACCTTTAGTAGTAAGAAAGCTCTAGAAGTGGGTCCTGAAAGCTGTTTCTATCAATAAGAGAAAATCTCTCCTTTTAAAAAGAAAAGAGTTAAATGCAAATTTTGCTTAATGAAGAAAATGTTCACTCACAGAATGCAGGAAGCACCAGTCCAATCACTTGAAAACTAGAAAACAGTTTATAAAGTGTAGTCAATTAAAAATTCTCTTAGGTTTTAGTGTGACAAATATTTGTTGTTGTCCTTAAATGGGAAATCTAGTATTTGCAGGGAAGAGTTCCTATATCCACTAAGCTTAAAACTATTCACAAGGATATGCTGAATATTTAAGATTTGATTAAGACCTCAATCAAATATTGGTTTCAGACCTTCATGCTTTCACTCTGTGATGCCTGAGCTGAAGTTAGACATCTTGAACAGTTTTTCTGTCCTCTGTCCACCTCTTTTCTGATTCAGCTGAAATACACGGTCTGGTGTCATTCTGTCTTCCTTTGAGTGTCATAAATATAGCTAGAGGTGCCCCTTTTGCTCTGAGGACACGTGTCCTATGAATTTAAATCACAAACGCTACAGGCAGATTGTTCAAAGACACATTCACCTTGGACCACTCCCATCCCACAGAGGACTAGGCATCTGCTGTGGCTGAAATTGGATGGAAGTGATCCAGAACTCGAGGTTACCCCAACCAGAGAGGTAGACAATTAGCAACAGAAATTGGTTACTTTTGTTGCGTCAATGTGTATCGAGGCAATTTCATCAGAGGAACATCACGTGGAGACCCTTCTGGCTTTGCAGTAGTCAGGAATTTGATTTGATGGTGTGGTGGCTGTCCAGCTCCTCAAGCTTTATCAGAATCTGTTCCGTATTTAGAGGGGGTGCCTTAGCTCTCCTTCATGGCAGGGCAAGACTCTTTCTATTTACAGCAGCAAGTCAAGCTAATCTGAGTTACTAAATAAGTATAAATCTGTCTATGCAAAACCTGCAGGGAAACGGATTTTCTCTATTAATGAAGATATTAATTATTTGTAATCCAGAGCAGTAGAACCCTCAGTGTAACCAGAGCTGAAGTCTCCTTGTAAAAAGCATTATATGGACATGCAAGGAGACGTGGTCTGTGTTCTGAGGGATATAGGATATAGAAGGCACATACACATACACACATGGAGGAGAGGTGGGAGAGGAAAGAGAAATTGGAAAGAAGAGATGCAAAGTATGGGAAAAGTACTTTGGGAGTTGTTGAGTACCTGATGTTTGTCCTTCACTTGCATTTTGAGGGTGATAACCAGGTAGATGGCTGTGGGGGGCCAACTAAGGCAGTGAAGGAGCTAGTGAGGAGGCACTGATGATAACATAAAATGCAGATAAAAGAGAGCATTTTGGTGATGTTATGCAAGCAATTGAGTGGCAAGATGAGGGCTTGGCACATACGTGCTTGGGAGAAGTTTGTGCAGTGAAGCTATTTGTGAAGAGACAGTAGAATCTAATTTGTTTGAACTCTACCATCTGTGGTGTAATTGCCTTATTGCCAGTGGGATTTATATGGGTAAATGAGCACTAGAAAGAGGAAGAATACTAATAGTAGGGGTTTATTTTATATAGGACTGTCTCTGCTCATCTGTGTAAAGCATATGGAAAATAAGTCAATTCAAACTTATTTTATACAGGATTATCTCGCTTCAGCTGTGAAAATTATATAAAAAATAGGTCAATTGCTACAAAACTTCTACTAAGGAGGAACAAGCACGCTATCATAAAAAGAATCTGATTGCTCTCTAATCACAAAGAATAAAAAAATCACTAACATCAATTCTAAGATACATCTTCCACAGAAGAACAAAAATAAAATTGGAAGCTGACATGTTTTTTCTACAAATAGTTCCTCTGAAAACTGCTGGTTTGACAAGCTTCCAAACTGACATCTTCTATTTATACATAAACCCATTGCAACTTTTTTTCCCCAGCTGATATTTGGTAACAAGGCTCTTAACAGATGGTATGCTGAGTTGGATCACTGCTTTTGTGATATTGAAGTGTAGGTTTTAAGCCGGTTTTCCTTAGAAAACTATGGATCTTGGTCTGTAATAGCTACCGCTGTGGTTACAGAGACATTCCTTCACCTTTACAAACCATGCTAACTAATATATCAGGCAGATGTTGATGATAGGTAAAGTGAGTTTCATGTTGTAGAGAGTATTTGACCATTTCACACAGATTGAGACTTTTGGAATATGTGTGTGTATGGTCAGTTTAGCCCTTCTTTGAGGCCAGACTGATAACCTGACTTGCTTCACCTACACAAAATGCCTAACAGTGTTATCCCAAAACTGGCCTTCAGCAAAGCAGCAGAGTAGACAGTGTGGGAATTACAGATCCCCTTTTATAACAAACCTGCTGCTGGGATCAGGACTGATAAAAGGAGATCAAGAGGTTGGGACAGAAAAACTTCATCAACTACACCTCTGTATTAGACAATGTCCTACTTCACTTCTACTTCAGCCCACTTTTGCATTTGATCTGGGCACTAGAATGAGGCAAGGCAGGTGTGCTGTCATCATGGGGTACACTGAGTAACTAAGTGGTAGCTTTGGTGTTGACTTAAGACCTGATGAATTTTCTGCATGATATTGCAATGCAGTGGAAGATGAGGGCTGGGGAGGTTTGCTGCCCTTGTTCTAAGTGGATATGAAGAGAGACTGAGCTTTGCCCAGCAATGCTGCTTAGGCAGCCTTATGTAATGAATAATTGCTAATGTACTATCATTACCTTAAATAATTGATGATTATCATTTACTTGAATTTTCCATTCTGACAGAGCATTTCACTGATTTTGTTTTGGTTTTGTATCAGACTCCTGATGTGACACAGTGTTACATGTCTGTGAGTGAAACAGCCAACAAAAAGGGAAAAGCAGAGACACAAAGATGAGATGCTTGTGGAGACCACAGGATAACAGCTCCACGTCAATTCACTCCTGCTGTCAAATTAATGTTTATTTCACAAGGGAATAAATGTTATGGTAAATAACAGAGGTTTGATCCACTTGCTTTCATGTAGGTAGGTACCACCAGTGGAGTCTTTAGCTGTTCACACAGGGCTGGCAGAACCCATGGGAGACAGGCACCCCTGTGGAACAGATATGGGAAACCAGCTCAAATGTCTTTAAGTTATTCCTTATAGCTGTGGTGTCAGTGTAGTTTCTTACATATAGTTGCCTAATCTACTAATATTACTGTGATCAAATCAGATTTTTTAGAGCTCTCTTCCTGCAATATCCAAGTACCAGCATATTGGATGATGATTTTAAAGCCAAACCCACTGCCATTAAGTCAAATTATAAATTGAGATCCTGACTGACTCAAGTTCCTCCAAGACAGGCTATATCAAACTGACTGGCAGTCATTATCATTCAGTTCTTACTGTTACAGGCATTATCAGGACCTAGTAATAAATTTGTCTTAATCAAAGTCTTCCTGGAAAATGGACAATGGGCTCTGATGAGTAATATCCTGGCTGCAATTTCATGGAGACTTTGCTAAGAACTGTTTAGGAAATTAAGTTTTTTCATAGTTCTGCACTGAATGCTCATCCATGTGTGTTGCCATTAAAAAAATAAAAACAGAAAAAAAATCTAATGAAACAATGTCTTCATTACATCATGTTTGGAGCAAAATACTATTTCTGAGGCTTTTTATGTGGGTACAACTTCTCTGATGGAAGAATGTTTGTCCAGAAAGCTGACTATACCCTGTGCAAACATAAAGGTTGATCAAAAGCCAGTAAGTATCAGTTCCTTGCCATCTATAGATACCTGCCATCTAAGATACTTGCCATCTATCTTCCAACAGGTAAATACAATAGGACATTCTGGCATGGAAATAGTCTGGCATATATTTCAGCCCACATGTCCAAGTATATAGGGCTAGTGTCTTAACAACTGAGTTTTCTCATTTTCTGGTTTCTTCTAAATGTTCTGTTTGGGGAAAAAAAAATAGCATTTTTTCCATAGTCTTAATTCTGGTGCATAACCCTGATGCAAATAGAAATAGAAAGCCTTTTTTTACTATGAATGTTGACTCATTTGTGTAGAAATCTCTTAACACAATTAACGTAATTACTCTTAGCCTGAGTTTTGAACAGACTTCAGAAGGAGACTCAGTGTGGGATGCAACTGCCTGGTTCTGTCCAGACAAATCTTGCATCAGTTCAATTCCCATTTGTGTGTATTCCCACTTTATGAGGTCACTGATTAAGAACTAGAAATTATCTTCTTAAATTTCAGTACTGCTTATTACAGCCCTGTTACTTGCTTTTTTTCTTTCTTTCTTTCTTTCCCTCCCTTCTCTTCCGTTTGAGGTAAAAAAATATTCTCTTGGTGCCAAAGACAAAATTCAAGTTCATCGTAATGACCAAGTTCACTAAGAATGATCCAGCATGCTGGTCAAGTCCTCTGTTCTCACCATTCCTATTTCCTCTCCAATCCCACTGCCTACTCAGTTTTGTGTGTTATCCCTTTGCTCCAGCCATATTTGGCAGTGTCAGTAGTGGTTTCATGTTCATTAGCAGATGAAAATTCGGTGAAGATGTAGATCTGTAGTTAACTAAGGTTCAGCATAATTCAGATTATAAGTATATAAATAAATTCAGCTGCTATGTGCATTAGACATGAATTCATCCTTCGTTTCCATATTTACAAATAATAGGATATTATTGAATTGACTATTAATGCTAAATATAAGATGTATACTCATAAGAGTAGTTGCCAGCCCAACTTTAACTGTAGAAAGAAAAAGAATTCAATGTTGTTGTCTACTTTTATACACAATCCTTGCAATTACAGGGAACATGTTTTTTGTACTGATAAACTGGTGCAAAATCTATTCAAAGAGACAGGACTTTCTGTATAATTCTCACGAATGTTTCCACTGGAACTTCCAGACTGAATTTGCTCGCAGTTGTTCAACTGAAACATTCTCCTGTTGAGAACTGTGAAGCTTCATTTCCTTTAAAACTTTCTAGGGACAGGATGTCAGTCTAGGCAGAATGCTCTCAGGGGGATCCAGGAGAACTCCAAACAATGCATTTTAAAAGGCCTGTCATTATAACCGCATTTTTGCAGTTCTCAAGGAAAAAAAAAAAAAATTGGGGAAACTTTCTTTTTGCAAGTGTGATTGATGCTTTGACTATTTTTTTTCCTCATAGAGGATGAGAAAAATACAAAACATTTCTAGTCAAGGAATTTTTTTTCCATGAAATACCTACCTATCAGTATAATACAAAGCTTCAGTTCTTGATTATATGCTACAGAGTGGATTTCAGGAGCAAAATATTGGTTTTGACCAGAATGGATGCCTACATCTTAGTGATAGAGACTGCTGTTGGCTGTTGTATTAAAAATTGAGGGGAAAATGGTGTTTTAGATTGTCTGAGATGACTGACAGGCATGATATGTGATGTCTTCTCACTTGGTATAGAGAAGTTTTTCATTTATTGCAGGGTCAAGAAGCCTCTTTTATGGCTGACATATTAACCAGGATTCTGGTAAACCTTGTTTAATTACTCAGCTATCCCTAGCTGTGACAACTGGAGCAAATTTTCAGGTGGGAATTTGTCCCCACCTCATTTTAGCATCTCTCTGAAGTGCTGGTGCTGGTAGAATTTATGTTCTGTCCTCCCTGTAAGCAACAGTGAGAGACAGAGTGGATTCAGGAGGAAGCTGAATCCAACTAAGATCTGATTTTGGGATATTCCTGCCTCTCTTTTCCATCTACAAAGGGACCTCTACTGCTCTCTGTTTAAAAAGAGCAAATCTAGCCCTTTATATTTTGATTTTCCACTTGCAGAACGAAACCATTTCCATTGTTTCATATGGTCTGGTGTTATAGACTCTTTCCCTAGGTTTTTGTAAGTCAACACTTCTGTTGCTGGACTTGGACAGCAAATGTCATTTTTCAGGTAGTTATGAAACTACCTGAAAACAAGAAAAGGGCATGTTTATGTGCATAGCATTAAACTTTAAGTCATAGCATTAGAATTATTAAGAGGAGTCTCAAAAACATTTGGTTGGAAACACTTGCTACCTAAGGCAATGCCAACACTCTCCATTCTTTAACCTGCTGCATTTATTTACATGTCCATGTTGAACTGATTTCCCTTTCTTTGTGCAGCTCAGGAATTATACATATCACCTGATCCTGATGGTAAATCCCTACACTGCCAGCAATGACACTGGTTACTTCAGTGTTTCTATTAATGATAAATTTAACCAGCTAAAAGGATGAGGCTTGTGCCCTCAGGTTGATGCTAAATTGAAATTACCACTTAGCCTGCAATGCATTGCCTACATTTTTATTAATAGGCTAAATTCCAGATCTGACCTTTCCAAAATTGCTGAATTACTAAATTGTGACACAGGAAACAGGGCTCCTCTTACAAGGAGAAGTGTATTATGCAAACATGTAAGGTCACCTAGAGAAGAATCCAGCTCTGGGTATCGTGTAACCCATACACACAGGTGTTTGCCAAGGTTCCATGTCAATCCACAGCTATGGATAGCTATGGATAGCTAATCCATAGCTTCAGGATACTGCTCCTCCACTGTCCCAGCCCTTGCCATACCACAGTCACAAAGAAGATGGTTCAGAGGTGTAAAAAGTGGTTCTGCACGGTTGTACTTTGAACACAGTAGTACCCATCCTAGCTGAACTATGCCTAGATGATGTTGTGCTGTTGATGTATCCTCTGTTGGATTGGAGCTCTTTGCTTGTTGCTGTTGAAGGTTCCGTTCAGAGGGGAAAGTTCCAGTTGAAGCCAGGTAACACCTGGAAAGCGAATTTAGTAAAGCAATGTAAGGATTAGAGAGAGTTAAACACCAAATGCAGGTTTTAAGCAAGGCACAGAGAACTTAGTATTAAGAAATAGCGGAGGCAATAAATTCACTAGAATACAGGACACTCTGACATAAGAGAACATAAGCATGAACAGAAAGAACTAAAAATGCTAGCACACGCAAAAAAGGACATATGGAAGAAAACAAAGGGAGATAAGAAAAGGGACAAGCCAAGAAATCAGGTACTCTTGCCAGGTACTGAAAATCCCTGCCAAATGCACAAGGAAACTACCCAAATTAGGGAAGGTTCAAAAGTTTATGAAGATGATGATGAAAGGACACTGAGTTCATGATGAAGTAAGACAGGAACGACCACCGAAGTTCTCCCCAAATTAAAAACCACACCTCTAACTCCGCCTCAACTCCGCCTGTTATAAATATTAAAAGTAGATGTTGCAATATGATGAATATTCATAATATGTGATGTAATTGCTTGGCAAAAAGTGTATAAAAAGCTCAATTGTAAGTTTCTCGACTGGAGCAGTTTGTCCAGGGCGACCTGGCTGCTCCCCGGTCGTAAAAATAAATACCTCCTGCTTATAGACTGAAAATTCTGTCTCTGAGCAGTTTCTCTGCACCTTCTTTGGGGCACAAATGGGCATCACAGTCCCCAGAAAACAAATTAGAACACTTTTTCAATTATACACGTATCATGTAGAATTCACAGAACCACAAAATGGGGTTGGAAGACACCTCTGGAGAATATCTGATCCAGCTCCTGCTTGGAGCATGGTCAGCTTGAAACATTGCTTAGGGCTGTGTTCAGTGAGGTTTTGGGTGTCTCCAAGGATGGAAACTCCACAGGCTCTCTGGGTAACCTGTCCCAATGTTTTATCACACTCACAATAAAAGTTTTTTCCTTATATTTCAGTGAAAAATGGGGGACTGGTCTAACATTTATATATAAGAGAAGAGGTTCTAAACACAGCTCCCATGCTGGTGTGTTCCTGTACAGATGCTGCTTTCAAGCCTGAATATTTTCTTACATAATTATTGAGTGACAGAGACACAATAAGAAATGGTCAATGAATTAATAGCTCATGAGCCACTGCCATTAAATAAGGAGGCAAATATTCCCTT